GTTATTAAAAAACAGAAAAATTCATGAAACTTTTGAAAAAAAATCAATGAAGGGTAACCAACACTTCCAGATATTAAGACATTATAAAGTCTCAATAATTAACTCTGGTGCATGAATAGACAAACAGACTAATGGACTGGAATTAAAATCTAGAAATTAATAAATACATTCAAGAACTGAAATATAGTAGAAGTGGCATCACAAACTAGCGGGAAAATTTGATTAGTTAATAATTGCTATTGGGAAAACTGGGGAAAAAATTAAATCTATCCCTCACTATATAGTGGTGTATGCCTGTAATCCCAGCAGCTCAGGAGGCTGAGGCAGGAGGATCACTAGTTTAAAGCCAGCCTAAGCAACTCAGAGAGACCCTGTCTCTAAATAAAATACAAAAAAAGGGCTGGGAATATGGCTCAGTGGTTAAGCGCCTCTGGGTTCAATCCCCTGTACACACACACACACACACACACACACCAAAAAAACCAAACAAACAAACAAAAAAAAACACAAACAGATAAATTCTAAATGAATCAAAGAATTAAATGCAAAAAAAAAAAAAAGGAAAATAAAAGAAAACATTGGGAATTTTTTTATAATCTTAAGAGTGATGAAGGCTTTTCTAACTAGGAAACCTAGAAGATAAAAGGAGAGGTTGATAAATTGAGCTATATTAAAACTATTTTGGCCTGAGAAAAAATGCTATAAGCAAAATAACAAAATGTAAAAAATATCTGCAATTCATCTATACAAAAGGCAAATTTCTTTGACATATAAAATGCTCATAAATTGTCCCAGCGCCTTGGGAGACTGAGGCAGGAGGATTGTGAGTTCAAAGACAGCTTCAGCAAAAGTGAGGCTCTAAGCAACTCAGTGAGACCCTGTCTCTAAATAAAATACAAAAAATAGGGCTGGGGATGTGGCTCAGTGGCTGAGTGCCTCTGAGTTCAATCCCCAGGACCAAAAAAACAAAAACAAAAACAAAAAACAACACCTCATAAATTGATGAGAAAAAAGATCAGAAATCTGAAAAAAAGGATGTGAATAGTTCACAAATAAGAAATGATGAATGACTCTTAAGCATACAAAAATGTATAACCTTACTCATAATAGCAGGGATGCAAATGAAAACTGCTTCCAAGATGCCATTTTTGATCTACATAATAGTTAAAAATACAAAAGTGTAGCACATTTTGTTGAGAAAACACTCTTACACATTTCTGATTAGAACCGAATTGGTATAATCCCTAAGGAGGACACTTTGTTAACTATCAAAACTATGAATACTCTATCTTATCCCACTTACACAGATGCTATATGCAATTTTAACATATGCTATTATTTTCTTAAAGCCTAAAAGTTTCCAGTAGCCAATTTTAAGGGTGGGGGGAAAAAAGCAATTACAGGGAAAATATTACTAAAACGAAGGCTTATGACCTCAGAGGAAATGTTGATAAAGATAAAAAATAAAAGCATATAACTGGGGTTGTGGCTCAGTGGTAGACTGCTCACCTAGCAGGTGCGAGGCCCTGGGTTTGATCCTCAGCACCACATAAAAATAAATAAAATAAAGGTATTGTGTCCAACTACAACTGAAAAATAAATTAAAAATAAATAAATAAAAGCATAGTTCATAGGAGTTATTCAATAAAAAGGCAAATAGACTTATACACTTCAAATAGGTCTAGAGCACAAAATGTATCATAACAGAGTACATTACAAATATGTGTAATGATGATGTGAATCATCAAAAATAAGTTTTTCTTTTTCTTCAGGTACTGGGAATTAAATCCAGGGGTGTTCCACTACTACATCTCCAATTCTTTTTTCTGTTTTGAGATAGGGTCTTATATGCCTCTATGCCTGGCTTAGCAAACGTAAGTTTTGTTTAATGTATTTTACTCAAAAGGGTGAGAATTATGCAGTACATTTCAGGAAGACTATACTAAATGGTCATTTGAAATAGACTTTTAGTTTTCCAGAAAGGTCAGCATATTTTCTTAGGGAACTGATGATTTACTAACTGGATATTTACCCTAATTCCTCTTCTGATCCTTCCCACCATACAGCATCATACTGGGTACTACCTTAGGTAAATAAGACCAAAATCAACCAGAAGTGAACAACAGTAATGAATATTCTGGATAGTAAAACTATTGCAGGAAGAAAGGGTTAATAGGGTGAATCTATTTGGCATAGATGGCATCACTCACCATATATCGACTTTTTCAGAGACAGGTTCATTCCGTATTACTTCTGGTGCCATCCATGCAACCGTGCCAGCAAAAGACATCTTGGTACTTTTATCACTGAGTTCCTTAGATGTACCAAAATCTGAAATTTTTACTGCATCTGTGTGAGTCACTAAAACACTTTAAAAAGAAATAAAGAAAACATCCAGATCATTAGTAGTAATGAAAACCATGACTCTAAATGGCAATTAAAGATTTTGTTTGCTGCTTCCTGTGGAGTTCAACTTGCAGTTTCCAATGTGACCAAGGCATTAGCTATGCACTGGAAATAGCAAAATGAAGCAGCTTATCAGAATAGGCTTTTAATGCCTATTTAAAAAAATAGTTCAAATGCAATTGTTTATTTGTTCTAATTAGTTATACATGACAGTAGAGTGCATCCTACATAAACAGAGTGTAACTTCTCATTCTTCTGGTTGTAATGATGTAGGATCACACTGGCTGGGTAGTCATATATGTACATAGGGTATTAGCGTCCAATTCATTCTGCTATCCTCATAATGCCTAGTTTTATCCTGTCTCCACCATTTGCAAACTGTGTAACTTTGCCAAGTTACTTAACTCTTCTAAACCAGTTTTCTAATCTATAAAATGGAGACAATTCAGGTCACAATATCTTATTCACAATTCAGAAATATAAAAGGTCTCAAAAATACTTTTCATACGTATAAGGCAAAATCATTATATCTCATTTTGTGTGAATTTCATAGATTTTGCCACAGGTATGTTAATGTGGCTGATTAGAGAGAGTTCCTCTAGACTTCCTTGGATGTCTGAGGTTAGCACTATATTACCTTTTTGAAATAATCTGGCTGCACAAGTCATGGATAAGATATTATGTGCCTGTAATAATGGTCCCATAGAATTTTCACTTGAATTAAATGAGCTTAGATACATAAAACACCAGTGCTCAATAGTTTTGGTTTACTCCCTTGCCAGTCTTGGCCAACCCATTAAGGAAAACACCTCATTTAAAAACATTATTTAAATAATGGCCAGTTATGTTATGCAGTGGACCATGACACTAGATCCATTACATTAAAAGACACATGTAAATGCTGGCAGTTCACTATTGCTGAAAAGAAAAAGCAGGAATAAATCTAAGCTTAAGTAGCTTCCACAGAAGTCATGTTTTACTTTTCATAGGACTTTTCTGAAATGTGTCATGGAGCAGATGCTTTTGCTTGCCTTAAAGGTGAATATAAATCCAAAGTATGGGCAGCCTCATACACTAGTCTGAGTTCACTCCAAAAAACCTGTTCACAACTTCCGAATGTTAATGAGTTAGGGTGCCAGAGCCTTAATGATATAGGGACCTATTAAATTTTTTTTTCATAGTTGTAGATGGACAGCATGTCTTTATTTTATTTGTTTATTTTTATGTGGTGCTAAGGATCAAACCCAGTGCCTCATATGTGCCAGGCAAGTCCTCTGCCACTAGGCTACAGCCCCAGCCCTAGATACCTATTTTTAAAGATAAGAAGCTTAATACTCAAATAGCATCAGACTCAAGGAAAATAGAAAACAGAAAACTTCTGAATTTGTTCCTGCCCTTGTCATTTGAACCAAGGACTTCACACTTGCTCACCTCCACCCCCAACGCCAAATGACTTGCTACTTACTCAACAGCTTTGTGCTTACAGTTGCTCTGGAATACCTCCATCCACATCCTTCCCCTGGTTTTGCACCGGATATGTAAAATTTACATAATTTAGGAGCTTTGATTTTATAGTCTTAGTGTAAATTCATGTGGATTAAAATATTATGGGCTATCTGACATAATTGGAGCATTGATAGTGTCATATGCCATGAAATTAAAAAAACATGATAGGCCTCTAGGAACAGAAAAACTGTAGGAACTTCCTCTTCTGCCTCAGTTGGTATGAGAAAAGGGAGGAGATTAGAGATGATATAACACTGACTTTTCTGAAATCTTCTGAGACAATGTTGGGGACACACAGACTGCAGATTTAATGTTGGCAGTGAAATTTTTCCTTACAACGTGTCAGGTTGATCTTTGTCTTCATATATATATATATGTATATCATATACATATGCATATATATACATATATATTTAGTTTTAGGTTGATATAATATCTTTATTTTATATTTATGTGGTGCTGAGGATCAAACCCAGTGCCTCATGCATACTAGGTGAGCACTCTACCACTGAGCCACAACCCCAGCCCTGATCTTTGTCTTCTTGAAGTTCGATTGAAACCCAAAAACCTCAGCCTCTAGGGTTAAGGGTGGCATTGTTAACACTGGATGACCAACTTACTATTCTAACCTTTAATTCTCAAGGAGAACATGTTGGTTTCAAGAGATCATTTGAAGATGCCTTTAGTAAGTATTTTACATATTTTATGCGTATGCAGGGGATGAGAAAGGCAACAGATTGTGTTAAGAATATGAACAGAAGGAATGAACGCTATATAGTAATGTTTATTTGCAAGTACAGGAAGGAGTTTGTTCAATGAGCTAACCATTGTAATAAATATTGTTGAGAATGATGATGATAAATAAGAGTTGCATTAACTTTTTAACCAAGGACTGATTTTATCTTCCCTAGAGGAGAAGAGGCAGGATTCATTATGAATCCCTTATCTTCACATAATGAGGTAGGATGCTGTAGTCTGGCTCAAAAGTTCTAGGTTCAAGTCCTAGTCCCTTTGGGCTGAGGCCCACTTTCTCTTACATAAACAAAAATAATAATGATATTATCACTTCTAACATCCACAGTTTTTGATACAATCAAAGATGTGATAATGGCTATAAAACATGTTGTAAACCAATAAAGCACTATGCAAATGTTTTTGAAAAAAACAGTCTTTCTGCTTCTGTAAACCAAAATGTGATGAGAAATAATAAAAAAATAATGTTTAAAAAATAGAGCTACATGGACATATGCCATTTTACCAATTCATTTCTTTCCTTCATGAAATTTGGGGAGTTGAATACACACTTAAGTGATTATTGGCTACCAAGGAATCATTTGGAAATCAGAGATTAACAGAAATAGCTCTGCTTCTCTTAAATAACTATGTTTCTTATGGCCACTTTGTAACTTGTACCTGTTTATTTTCTCCTTTGTTTAGACTCTCAGAAGCTCAATGCCAAATTTATAGTTCTCAAAAACACCTGTACAGAATCTTATAAGATACTTTTTTCTTTCTTTTTTTAGTAGTGGGTGCTTTACCACTGAGCTACATCCCAAACCATCTTTTATTTTGAGATGAGATCATGCCAAGTTGCTCAGGCTGGCCTCAAACTTGCAATCCTCTTGCCTCAGCCTCCAGAGTAGCTGAATTTATAGATGTGTGCCATTAACACACCTATAAGTTTATGGTATATATTTTGTGAACAAGTTTTGGTACTAATGTTTTTATGTTATTTTTTGCCTCTGTTTCTTATCACCCATTTTTACTCTATTGTATACACTAAGACTATAAAATCACGATGAATAATTTGAGACCACGATGAATAATTTTATGGAGGTGTAAATAATTCATAGAACACCCCTGAGTTCAGTCCCCGGTACTGCAATCAACAAACCAGTAGGAATACAACAAACCAAGCTTTCTGGTAGGGAAGTTTGGTATTAATTATCAGAGATGATAGAAGTTGAATAGTTCAGATAATAATGAATTTTGTACAATTATATGATTTAAAAGTGACAACAAAAAGGGGAAAATGGTGTCAGGTACCTGAACATATCTGCCACATGTAAGGAGCTCAACAAATATTCCAAAAGATAGGCAAATAGAATTACCCGCTGTGCTGACTTTAATCTGAACTCAAAGAATGATGTCTGAAAACTTCAATTATAGTTGATAAAAATTCCTTATTTCAAAACAACAAAGTAAAATACATGAAAAATAAGCTCCAAAACTCACTTAGGTGATTTGAGATCACGATGAATAATTTTATGGAGGTGCAAATAATTCATTCCACTTGCAATTCCTGTGGACCAGTCTACTAGTAATCGAGGTGTGATCTTCCTGCCAGCTCTCAAGACTTCATAAAGTTGTCCGTGGGCACAGTATTCCATGATGATACAATAACATGGGGCCTGAGTACAAACACCCCTTCCAAAAAAAACATAAACATGTACATACATATACATAAACATATATATTATTATAGTTTAAGAATATTTAATAAAGACAAATTCTTTTTCCAATTGATTTAAAAGGTGCACATAGTTAATAGTTCCTAGTTCTTTAGAATTAAAATCTCTCTAGTTACAGGTTTGGCTATTATGCATGTAGACAATTTTTGTTTTGTTCTGGTCACTCTAGATATCTATATGCTGGGCTGTCTGATAGTTTTATGTGGAACCATTACACTCTGGGACAAAGAACACCCTTTTCTGAGGCTTATATAGGCTGGATACTGTGTTGTTTTAGATTGTTTAGAATAGCAATATATCTTTGTTAAGAATAAAAATATCTTCCTTTTACACTAAGATAGAGGGTATTATATAGAGGGGACTGAGAATTCAAATTATTTTTATTATTACTTAATGGATTTTAAATTAACTGAATTTAAAATAACAAGTCCATTTTTTAATGTAGTCTGAAAAGCATTTTTATTTAGAATAAAAGTAACATTATATAACATATTATATACATCTATGCAGACTATATTTCCATCTTTCATGAAATGTATCCTGATTATTCCAATCTGAAAAGATCTCTCCCTTCTCTAAATTCCTATAACATATAGCAGCCATGAATATTTTACATGCAGTTTTTCTCTGCTCAGAGAGATTACAGACTCCTTGAAGGGAAAGGTCTTCAAATTCTTTTCTCTCTCCCACAAGACTTGGAAGTTCTTAGTAAGTCCTTGATAAATGTTTCTTGACTTCACCTCAATATTCATAGCTGAAGAAAGCCTTCATAGTAACATGTGCAGAGGCATGGAACAGGAAGAAGAATAATATCAGGAAAAAAATCTTATATATTTTTCAGACATGTTTATGTTTGTTTGTCTTATTTAATATCCCACACAGTTTGTCTTATTTAAGATCTGTCTTACAAACTACTGGAAGATAGGTATTATCTCTTCCACTTTTACAGGTAAGGCTCAAAGTGAAAGTGACTTGTCTTAATTACAACTAGTTCATATAACTAATAAGTGACAGAAGTCAGTTTCAAACTCAGCCTAACTTCAAAGCCTGGCTCCTTCCTCTTTCTGTATGGTACTACCTTCATTTTAGCTTTTAAACTTCAGTATAGACAAGCATATTGGGAATTCCTATGTTAATTCCATTAGCTCACAAAAGTGGGAAAAATGATATTAAGTCTACCTCACAGTTTTATTCTCAAGACAAAAGGAGAATAACTATCATTTGCAATTCTTTGTGTCCCACCTCTTAATGGTGTGTACACCTCCCTTGAAACTTTCTAGAAAAGTTCACAGAGTACTATCTATATGACATCCAGTTAAAGTCTTGAGCCAACTACCAATTCATGTCTTATCTCTTAGGCTGCTGTGAGGAAAGAACTTAGAGGCCATGGTTTAAGGTGCTGATAATGTGAACATCTTGTTATAATTAAAGAAATTTAATTAGACTTCATTTTTTGTGCCTTGATGTGCCTGTCAAATGCCACAAAGCTACTTCTATTACTCTCCTGTTATTTTCTAGGCTACTCAGAATTCTCATCTTGACTTTTCATGCAATTTTTTTCAAGTTTCATATATAACTAAAAAGAACAAATTTAAATTTTTTTTTCAGATTTTTATTATTTGACCTTTAAGAAATCTCAAAAAAAAAAAAAAAAAAAAAGAACTCAGAGGAGAACACACACCAACTACAAATAGATAATTTAATTATCATTGTAGAGAAATAATGAATAGGACTGGGATTATGTAAAATATTTAAGAATATCAAGATAAATATTTATTTGAAAGTACTCAGCATCCTATTCAACTATGCTTTATTGTCACTCAAACACAGAAAGGGTCTAACAGTGATACGTTTTAAATTTTTCATCTCTCTTGACTGACGAATGAGAAGCGATCGTTCCATGTACTATGACAAGGTTTTTTAGTTGCTATAAATAACAGCTTTATTATCACTTCTAATTGCTACCTTTTCTTCCTTTGGTACTGAATTTATTAGGAACAGTCAGGTTGGATTTTCTTAAAGGATTACTAGAAAAAAAATGGAAGAAAAATATATAACATTCTTATCTTGCACTTCCCTTTCTACACATAGTTCTTACTAACTTCAAAAGAAGCTATAATCCCAGAAATCAGAATCCAGGGACATGTATTAAAATCTAATAGTGTCCTCATATCTTCCAGACGGTCCTGAATGTGATTCACTGGCCAAGCAACACATGGCACAGATGGCTGCAAATGTAACACTGCACAATGCCCCAAATGCATGGTGTAATGGGCCAGGGACACAGTCTCACTATTGTTTGCCATGTGGAGGTGAAGGCAACTGGGGATCTTCAGCTTAAATGGCTGGGTAGCAGTGCAGCAGAACTTGCCCAACAATGCTGAAAACTGCAAATACAGGTAGGAGGGTCAGAGGATGAGGTGGGAAAAAGACTGGGAGGAAGAAGGAAGAAACAAAAGGATGGAAGGAAAGATAAAGCTTCTTGCTCCTTCATCCTCTTAGGGATACATTTCTACCTCCCATTACCCAGGGCATCGTCCTTGGAAAGATCTCTTACCTGGGACACACAGCCTAGGTCATTTCAGGAGACCAAAAGCCATGCTAATCTATCAAACACTCTTTGTTTCAACCCACTGTTCTATTATCTGAGTTTAGAAGTTCTTGGCCCTTTCTCCCATTTAGGAGGATACAGCATAGAGGGAATCTGATCATTTTAGTGAAATAAAATGAAGAAAAGAAGATGGGGTCTCTATTAGCTGCTTAAAATAATTATCCTGTTATCTTTTGAAGTATATCATCCTTGGAAAAATTATAATTGGTCTCTATAGCACTTAATTTTAGTCATGCATCCTCCTAGCCGTACTAGGGCAACAAATGATGGAATTATGACAGAAATTGAAGCTCACTCTCATGTACTCTACATGAATGTTCTTTGCATGAGGAAATACATCTAAACACTTCCTTTGTCTTTGAGTATGTTTTTCTCCTTTTCACGTTTTTCCCTTTCCACAGAGTCTTCTTAAGCTACGTACTCATTAAAACCCATTCTACAAAACCTGTACCAAAAACTTCTATTCCTTACTTTGGGATTGTGATTCCAGTTAAGACTTGTCACATGACATTTTTAGCTTTGTAACATGAGGTTTTTTTTTTTTTTTTGAGGGGGGTACCAGGGATTGAACTCAGTAGCGCTTGACCACTGAGTCACATCCCTAGCCCTATTTTATATTTTATTTATAGATAGGGTTTCACTGAATTGCTTAGCACCTTGCTGTTGCTGAGGCTGGCTTTGAACTCCTGATCCTCCTGCTTTAGCCTCCTGAGTCACTGGGATTATAGGCATGTACCACCAGCCTGGCTTGTAAGGTGAGTTTTATAGTGAAAAGATCCTCTTAAGGTTGTTGGGAAAGTTGCTCCTACTTTAGGGAAGAGATATGTAAGTTATTTCACTTTTAGCTATATCCTCATTGGTTATACTACTCTCCAGGAAGGAGAAATATTATCAAATATGCCAGAACCTCTAGTTTCTAAACTTTCATCCCACCTAAAGCCAATTAGCATTAATTTGTTCAATACTATGGCAACATGTAAAGGCTGGTGAGAGGGGGAACTCAAGGAAAAGGTACAGGTAGAAGAGGTTAAAATATTTTAGATCTTAGTACTTCCAAGTTTGGTGACTTCCACAAATTTACCTTTGCCTCTCTTCCTTCTATTAGAGATCCCAGTTGATATTAAGAAATAATAGTCTAGACTAGAAATATATGCTCACACACTCTTGAAAACAACTACTTTGTGTTTTTTTTTTAAAGAGACAGAGAGAGAGAGAATTTTAATATTTATTTTTTTTAGTTTTCAGCGGACACAACATCTTTGTTTGTATGTGGTGCTGAGGATCGAACCCGGGCCGCACACATGCCAGGCGAGCGCGCTACCGCTTGAGCCACATCCCCAGCCCCAAAACAACTACTTTGTGAAAGGAATATAACATAAATTAATATCATCAATAACTCCACTATCACAAGATTTAGAAAACTTTTGCATTGATAGAAAAGGGATCTAGTAAAACCTGAGATTATGCTCTGAAAGTACCTGTTTATTATAAGACAATATTAAGAAGGAATGCTAATAGAAACTAGTAAATATCTATTACACAGGGATTGGATATTCTCTGAACACTTCAGACATTAGCTTTTTTTTTTTTAAACTGAGTCTTGGGATATTAGGTTATTTTGAAGTGACCTCTGTCACCCCGTTGATAAATGAGGTTGTTGCAGAAGGCCTGACTGCTTGGTAGAAACCCACTTCCTTCCTCCCTGCCCCATGTGTGTGTCTCTCCCATGCAGTGCATGCTTGTGCAAAATGAACTTTTATAGTGAAAAGATCCTCTTAAGGTTTCAGGACATGACTCAGATTTTATAGTTCTTTAATGTCCTTCCAATCAATCTAGCACAGTGCTAAATCTACCAGTGATTTTGAAATGTCTTTCAAAGTAAGAACCTAAGTACATATATTGAGAGAAATAAAATATCTCTATTTCTGAAAAAAAAAAATAAAGCCTTGACCTACTTGAATGCAATGATGTTAGGGTGCTTCAACTTCCTCAAGTGCTTGATATCCGTCTCATTCTGTTCTCTCACTTTCTTGATGGCCACTTCCTCTGCTCGGAATTTGCCCAAGAAGACAGCTCCTTGGGCTCCACTACCCAGCCACTGCAGCTCTGAGATCTCCTCAAATGGCACTTCCCAAGTATCTAGGCACACAAGTGAGAAACAGACTTGAAGAGATCTTGAAATTTGCTCAGGGACCATTCTATGAGGCCATTCTGAAGGTACCAACATCACCATCACTGGAACTCCTACCCTCTGACCCCACTGAAAGACAACTTTTCTATGCATCTTGGTATTTTATTTGTGTGTGTGTGTGTGTGTGTGTGTGTATTTTAAACCACTAAAATTGAGCAGATTAGAGATATCTTTCAAGCAAAGTATGTCCTAACACTTCTCCAACCCTACCTTCTTACCCTAAGCTTATAAGTTTGGTCAACTTTTCTATCTCTTTTTCTACCACAGGTCCTTGCTCATTGTCCATTATAGATGTGATTTTATTCCTCTTTAAAAATCCTTTCTAGTTTTTATGTTTACAGCTATGTAAAAGTTGTAGTGATATATACTATTTCATGTATTACAGATTCTTCATCTACTTACTGTTTTCATTATAAGTGAGGAGTTTACTAGTTTTGCTGATAGTAGCAATGTCTGAACCTGTTGGTTTCATCACAACTCTGCCAGCAGTATCATCAATTATTTTTTGTTCTAATCTAATTAGGTATAAAATAGTGTTTTTTATGAGTTTGAACTAGTTTAATTGTCAAATACAGACCATTTCTTCACATTTGTTTAATACACATATCTGCTTTGTATGAATTGTCCATTTATCTATCCGGATCCAGACAGGGTCATTCTAATAAATTTGAAGAAGTTCTATAAATATTTTTTGATAAAAATGAAAAGAATATTTTTCATAAGCCTTTTTCTTCAATTTTATTTTTTATCTTTTATAGTACTGGGGATTGAATCTCGGCCTTATGAGTAATAGGCAAGTGTTCTACCATTGATCTATATCCTGGTCCCTTTTTAAAAATTTTTAAAAATTTCAAGATAGGGTCTCACTAAGTTGCTGAGGCTGGCCTTGAATTTGTGATCCTCCTGCCTCAGCTTCCTGAGTAGCTGGAATTACAGGAAACTGCTACCATACCCAGCTAATTTTACTGTATTTTAAACAAAATATTTCATTATAGTTTAGTATTTACTTTGTAATTTTTTCCATTGTAGAAAATGTAGTCTGTCTTCTAAAGCTATCTAGAGCTGATTTTTAAAAATTTAGCCTTTATATCCTTCTGCAGTTTATTTTGGAATGTGTTGTGAAGGCAAATATAAAGTAAATTTTATGGGTATTGCTATTTAGTAATTCCTAAATCATTCAATTAAGTAATTCATCCTTTCTCTTCATATTGTGTTATGATGCTTACATTATAATCACTATATTTTTAAAAATAATGCCTAGTATTTAGTATTTTTATAAAATGAATTATAAGTGAATTATTAAAATGAAAATGGCAAATATATTTGGCATTCGAATATCAACTGTTTATGGTATTATAATAAGGAATAAAATTCTCTTTTTCCAATGATAGCTCATGCCTGTGCTATTCAGCTATATTCAGTCAAGCCTTAATTACCCATGGAAAAAGAAAAGGGATAGCACTGGCCATTCAAGAACAAGAGTATAAAATAAAGAAAGCAATATTTCAACCATGTATCCATCAATCTTTTTGTTGGAACTAATTACCAGAAGTAAAACAATTAATGTGAATTTAGTCCTGTCTGCTTCATCTTTCAGTCCCTGTTGGTAACCAGGAGAAAGCCAAAGAATGGGAAAGTAGCAGGAAAGAGAAAGCAATAAGAACATATAAATTTGGATAGCTGGGTAACTGTCAGGCAAGATAATTAACCTCATTATAAGACAGAACTGGCTATGTTCTCTCTAAAGTTAGTTCCAAGAATTTTTGCTGCTCTTATATCTATCCCATTTGTACCCTTTCCCAGCTTCTCTCTCACACTCTTTTTCTCTCTCTCTGATTGATTGATCACAATAACTACTAACTTATTTCCAATATCCATTGTGACTCATAAGACTGAGGAAAACCCTCACATCATCCACTGTTATAATTTGGGTGTGAGGTGTTCCCCAAAAGCTCATGTGTGAGACAAGAAGGGTCAAAGGAGAAATGATTGGGTTGTAAGAGTCTTAACCCAATCTGTGATTTGATCCCCTGATAGGATTAACTGAGTGGTAACTGAAGTGGTAGGGTGTGGCTGGAGGAGGTGGGAATTGGGGAGTGGCTTTGGGTATATATTTGTATCTGGTTAGTGGAGTCTCTCTACTATCTGATCATGATGTGAGCTTCTTTCCTTTGCCACCCTCTCCTGCCATGATGTTCAGCCTCACCTGGAGCCCTGAGGAATGGAGCCAGCCTTCTATGGACCAAGACCTCAGAAACCATCAGCACTCAAATAAACTCTTCCTCCTCTATAATTGTGTTGGTTGGGTCCTTTAGTTACAGCAGCGAAAAAGCTGACTAAAACACCTACTTTAAGGCAAAAGTTTTCTTTTGTTTATTTAGACGTGGCCATGATAATACCTGCTTCAGGATGGGAAACTATTTGTCCATAAAATATTTCAATAACACATACTACCTTACTTGGGTTTCACCATGAGGATACTTAAAAGGGAGATGAAGACATCATTAAAATTTTTAAAAATCTAGTGAAATTTCCTCTTAAATACCAAGAGTAGGGGGATACATCTGTTACATGTGTTATTCTGTGGTTGACTGCAAATGTAGGATTAAAGATTAGCTCCCTGATCTCAGAGCTGAGAAGGAAGCACTATATTCAGTTTCTGGCTGGTAAATCCCTCTTCGAGCCTACAGCAACACTAGCCCTTAGTGCCTAACTCTTTGCAATCTGCTGAGGAGCTGGGCATCTGCTGTACCATGTTGAGAATTAATGCTGACCAGGTCTGTTTCTTAATTTTTCCTGAAATAAGGTTTCCTGAAAGTCACATAATTGATTGGAACACAAAATTGAATTCAAGTTTGTAGAACTAAAAAAAATAAAATAAAATAAAAAATAAAAGGCTTCATTTAGCAGATGTACAGGATATGTTTGTTGCCCCCTTTTATGAGTCTGAACCTCAGTGATGTGTTTGGACACTGAGATGTTCAAATTATCACCAAAATAAGTACAAGACTGGACAAGTAAAACCCCTCAAAATCAAATATCGTTTTTTACATAAGTGGGTGTTAGTTTTTTATTAGGTTTTATGTCTAAGCAGAGAAAAGGGAACTTTTAAAAAATAATAAGTTAAATATGTTTATTAAGAATGGATTATGGACAGATGCAGATATAGATGAGTGGTAGGGTACTTGTCTTGCATGTGCAAGACCCTGGGTCTGATTTTGAGTACCACAAAAAAGAAAGGAAAGAAGGAAGGAAGGAAGGAAGAAAGTTAATTGTAGGATGAGAAAGAAAGAAAGGGTTTTAGGATGACAGGTAATTTTTATTTTCTTTTTTGTGTTTACCCTTATTTCCTTTTTTTTTTGGACCCGGCATTGAACAGGGGTGCTTAACCACTGAGCCATCTCCCTAGTCTTTTTTATTTTTCATTTTGAGAGAGGGCCTCACTAAATTGCTGAGGCTGGCTTTGAACTTGGGATAGCCTCTGGAGTCACTGAGATTACAAATGTGTGCCACTGTGCCTGGCCCTTATTTCCAATTTTTAATCCATATTGCTATTTAGTACTGCTTAACACAGGACTCCTCAAACTTTGTGTGACAAGAAACAACTTTAATTTCCTTGGAACCTAAAAATCATGGAAGGCAGCTGAGAGTAGAATGTGTAGGGTATTAGTGTATGCATGAAAGAGAGACAGACAGACAGAATATGTATAACACAAAACTGATGAGGAATTTCTGCATGCAGCAGGAATGGATGCTGTGGTTGAAAAATCCTGAAAAGTACTTAGAACTGTTAGATTTACTAGTAAAAATCCCAATATACTTCTGGAGGATGGGTACAGAGAGAAAGTTGGTATTTGATTTTTTTGGTATTTTCCTATTTCGGAAATAGGAAACACAGATGCATGAGGAAAGGGACTATGGTGACTGATGTCAATAGATTCTTGTAGAAAAGCTGTCCATACTCTTGACTGAAAGATGAACAGACTGAAGGGTCACAGAGTTTGAAATTCAGTTATTTACTTGTAAGATAAATAAAACAATCTCAATTTTGGTCTATATTTTTTTCCTTCCAGAATTTTTTTTTTTTTTTGGCAGGGAGATATTGGGGATTGAACTCAGGGGCACTTGACCATTGAACAACATCCCCAGCCTTATTGTATGTTTTATTTAGAGACAGGATCTCACTGAGCTGCTTACTGTCTCACCCTTGATGAGGCAGGCTTTGAACTCACAATCCTCCTGCCTCAGCCTCCTGAGCTGCTGGGATTACAGGCATGCACCACCGCACCCAGCTCTTTCCAGAATTTCTTGATGCTAGCACTCAAGAAAAGAATCATTTAAATAAGGCCACAAGGACATGTATCAAAAACTTTAAAAATAACAAATCTGGGCTGGGTTTGTGGCTCAGTAGTAGAGTGCTTGTCTTGCAAGCATTGATCCTCAGCACCACGTAAATAAATAAAATAAAGGTATTGTGCACATCTACAACTAAAAAGAAATCTTTAAAAAAACAAAAAAAAATCTGTTGGACTCAATGATTGTTCATCTAGGAATTTATACTAAGAACTAAACAAAGATATATGCAAAAATAAAGTGATAGACAAATATTCATTGCAATGTGACTTATGATCTCTAAAAATAAAAACAAATTCAGAGTTGAGCAATAGGAGATTCTTTAAATAAATGTTAGCACATTTGGACAATTTAATATTGGGTAGGCGTTAAAAATGATGCTTAAAATATATTTAAGAAATAGACACAATGTTCACAATATGAATGAAAAAATGCTACAAATAGTATGTCTCCATTTTTAAAAGTATATATACATGCACAAACAACATACATGCTGATTTTTTTTTTCTTTTTTGCGGCACTGAGGATAGAACCCAAGGGCTTCGTTCATGCTAGACAAGTGCTGAGCCCAACATAACATATTCTTAAAACATTAATGGTAGTTATTCTCAAGAGAGTAAGGATCATAGATTATTTTAACATATTTTAGGGAAGTTACTTTTATTTTTCAAATTTCATACATATGTTGCTTTTGTTATCAGTAAAAAGTCCTTTTAGAGAATAAAGTTAGGTTATAAAGAACACGAGGACCACGTGTTCCCCCTACTTCAAAAGTATAATACTTGAATTCTAATATATGAATACACATGTTATACAATAATGGCAACTGAAAAATCACTATTTAAAAAACTGTGGGATCTAGACATATTCTTCTCCAGATTTGTTAGATATTTTGTTCTTTCCTCAAAATGTGAGCTTTCTATGCCTTTACTATAAAGTAATAATTCCTTTTTACTGTAATCTAAGGTAGTCCTATGATCTTCAAGGACATTACCATGTGACTTCTGCTTGGTAATGAATTAGCCCAATGACCATCAGACTGTTTTTTCTTTTCTTTTGAGATGAGGTCTTGCTATGTTGCCCAGTCTGTCTTTGAACTCCTGGACTCAAGTGATCCTTCCACCTAGTCTCCGAGTAGTTGAGATTAGAGACTCATGCCACTTTACCCATCAGACTTTTTAAAAAAATTTTTTTTTTTTAGTTGTAGATGGACACAATATCTTTATTTTTAATTAATTTTTTCATGTGGTGCTGAGGATTAAACCCAGGGCCTCATGTGTGTGAGGCAACCTCTCTACTACTGAGCTCTAACCCCAGTCCGGCCATCAGACCTTTTGATTGTATAGGCTAACAGTAAAAAAAAAAAAAAAATGCTTAATGCATGAAAATAGAAATTTTAAAAGAGAGAAAAAGAGGAGTTACAATATTTTTTTCTTATAAACTCATGGATTGTGTTGTATGTTCTCTACTTTGGACACCACTAGACAGGATGACCATATAAGATGGGTTCCAACCAAAAAAGACACACCAAATATGCATCTGGTCTATTTAGAAGGTCTGAAGGGAACTGACATGGGGTAATCATCTGACCTAGTTCTTTAACTGACTCACACATTAAAGGTTATCTAGTTTTTAATGTTGGAGGGAATGGTGCTGATGGTGCACTCATGCAAGAAGTCTTTGCCCCGCCCACACTGTCTTACCTTGCTGCTGTAATTTGTAATCGGTGGAGTACGCCTTCCCAATGATGTTCCACACAGGCCTTAGGCAGCCGAACAATCCTTCAAGAAACCCCCCACTGCCGCTGCCTGACCTGCTGAACTGAATCTTGATGTCTTCAGTTGCACCCGTGTTCTCCCCGTCCACGGTGTTGCTGTTCCCCTGAGACACAGCCATCTCTGATTCATCTTGTTCCCTTAGCTGAAGAACACTGTTCTCGAACTGGTCCCTGGAATCCTCACTCACGCTGGTCAACACTGTTGTGGTGACGGGGCTGTTCATGCTGTCGCTTGGCTCTGTTCGCACGACCCCCTTTTCCTGCTGGTCCTCAAGGAGCCTGGGTGGAGGGTGGTTCCCCATGGCTGCACGCTCATCCTGTAGTCCATTGAAGGTTTTGTTTTCACTCGAGGGGAAATGCGGAGAAGAGGAGCAGCTCAGGCGCTCCTGAGGGTTGGCCATCGTGCCATGAGTGTGACCAAGGTCCTGAGATGACACTCAGAGGATTATTAGAATAGAGGTCTGATGCACAAGAGGGCTCCCAAACCTGGGAAAACAAAAGCAGGGCCTGAGATCACTGTTTCTTTAGTGTCCTTACTACTACATCTGTTTATATAATAAAAACATTAAAATGATGAGGAGGATTAAATTGTGGTTTATTCTATTTGATGCAATACTGTTCACAATGAAAAATTATGTTGTGAAAGAATAATTATTAACATGAAAAATTGTTCATGACATATCATTTAAAAGGGTTGGAACTATATATGTGTGTGTGTGTGTGTATATATATATATAAAATTGAAAAATTCATTTAAAAGGGTACACAAACACACCCACAAGAAAAAGACCAGAAGGATTCATCCAAAGAATTAACAGAATTAACAATAGTTAATTGGTTAGATTTGGGAGCAGTTTAGAGTGTTGTGATTTTCAAGGTATTCCAAGCATTCTGTATTAATAACTATCATTCCCCCAACACCCCTCACATACTGGAGACTGAATCCAGGGACCCTCTATCACTGAGCTATACCGCCAGCCCCTGTTATTTTTTATTTTGAGGTAGGGTCTTGCTGAATTGCCCAGGCTGGCTTCAAACTTGTGATCTTCCTTCCTCAGCCTCCGGAGTTATTGGGATCATAGGCATGTGCCACCACACCTCGATCTGTTATCTTTTTAATCAGATAAAATGACTTCCTTTTCCACAAGGGAAATCAGTATATATGTACTTACATTATTATAATTTATGTTACTATAAGTTACAACTATTTTTTTTCTCCTTGTTTTTTTAAGCGTTATCTTACTGGGGCACTGCTTTATTTTCTAAGACATTCATTAAGTCATGTAGACAAATATCTTCTGTGTATGACAAAACAACTTCCTGAGATATCAATGTTTTTTATTATACAGCACCAAATCTGGAGCAACACAACTGAGCCTCAGCTCTTCAAACGTGTTCTTTAGTTCTGATCTGTACATGAGTAATATGGGGCTATCTAACCTTTCAAACAGATTTGTTCTAGATCAGCTAGCTCACGCAACATCATTCTTAAATTTGGTCAAAGCAGGATAAAACCCCAAAAGCACAGGAAACACATGAAAAACACACAATCAGGATTTAAACTAAAATATTTTGCACAGCCAAGGAAAAAAAATCAACAGAATGAAGAGACAACCTCCAGAATGAGAGAACATATTTGCAAATTATACATCTGATAAGGTGTTAATATCCATAATATATAAGAATCTCAACAGCATAAAAAGAAATAATATGATTTAATATGGGCAACAGACCCATAGACATTTTTCAAAAGAAGACATACAAGTGGGGCTGGGGATGTGGCTCAAGCGGTAATGCGCTCACCTGGCATGCATGGGGTGCTGGATTCAATCCTCAACCACATAAAAATAAAATAAAGATGTGCGTCCACCAAAAACTGAAAAATAAATATTAAAAAAA